TTCTGGAGAAATGCTGGGCTTCCCGTCATGGGAACTTGCTATTCTGAAATGTGTACTTCCATCAAATACGGTCAGTCAGTGTTTAATTATCAAGAGGCAGTGATCTTAGTAATTTTCTAGAAGCACACTGAGATACGATTTATAATGAAGAAAGTGTGAAACACTCTGTAAAGACATCCTTTTAGGAAACACACAGCTGTTCTGGGATACCTCCCCTGTTCGTCATGCCATCTGCATCTGCAGTGAGCACTTCATGCAAGAACAGGCATGAAGACCCTGAGGATAACAGATGAGGAATCAAAGTGCAAAGTGTTTACTTGTTTCTGAAGTTCATGCAGAATTATATGGGTCATACGGAGACTATAACTCAGGCTGCCAAAATCTAGAAGTGAATAATCTTACCAGCATGTGAGGGAGGCGAAAAAGCAGAGGAAGTACCTGGAAATTACCAAGTAAGGTCATTCCAAAGGAAGCCAGACACAGCGCCACCAATCCACTAATATTCAGCCATGGGTTTAGAACCTTTGGTTTCAGCTGGATGAAGCGCAGAACAGCTACCACAAGGGCTGGAAAAAAACAAATCTTAAAATTAAAGAATATAAACAATGTGCCTAGACTAAGGCAGAAGTCTAAAACCATAATATGTAAAAGAAGAAAAAAAAAAGACCCGTTGAAAACCTTTTCTGAGACAAGGTCTTGCTATGCAGCCCAGGCTGGCCTGGAAACTCAGTATATAGCTCAGGCTTGCCAGGAACTCAGTATGTAGTCCAGGCTCAAATTCAGGATCCTGCTCTCTTAGCCTCTTGAATGGTGGGATTAAGGCATGTGTTACCATGTGTGTCTCTCACAGCACATTTTAAATCTCACCACAGAAAAGTTTTCTCTATTTTTTCTTTTATTTTTTTGAGGTTATAATATATTTATGTCATTTTCTCCTGTTTCCTCCCCCCAAACCCTCCCATCTTATAAACTCATGGCTTCCTTTCTTCCTTAATCATTGTTAGACACATATATGTGTGCATAGATATGTGAATATATATATGCATATGTATATATACACATATATGCACATTCTTAAATACATAAATACAACCTGCTTGGTCTGCATAATGCTACTTGCATACATGTTTTCAAGGCTGACCATTTGGAATTGGATAACCAAATCGTGTGCTCTTCCCTGAGGAAAGCTATTTCCCCACACTCAGAATTCCTCAGTTGCCTGTAGTTCTTGACAGACAGATGGACAACTTTCAAAGAAACTTTCCGCCAGGCGTTAGGGGCGCATGCCTTTAATCCCAGCACTCAGGAGGCAGAGGCAGGCGGATCTCTGTGAGTTCGAGGCCAGCCTGGTCTACAGAGTGAGTGCTAGGAGAGGCTCCAAAGCTACACAGAGAAACCCTGTCTTGAAAAACAAAAACAAAAGCAGAAAAAGAAACTTCACTCAATGCTGCAACTTTTCAGATGTCTTATTATTCTTAACTTTCGGGGAATCAGAGGGGACATGCCACATCCAGGCTGAATGTGACCCTTCCAGCAGTGTGAGGATGAAAGTTCTCAGGTTTCTCAAGGTAAGACTGACAAAGGAGAGACTGGCCTGGGGGAGTACTGCAGAGGCACAGCACCAAGCAAAGGACACGGGGACAAAGAACATGGCTGAGACTTGCTGATCAGCCTCGTTCAGCTTACAGCAGTGTTAGAAAAGATAGAAGACACGGGAATGAGTACAAGGTTACCACATCTGGATAAACTGCATTCACTAAAAATTAATTCTTTCAAATGATATTAATCACTCATTTTTAAAAAGGACACTTTAAAAAAGTGATTTGAGAATGTAAAGGCAGAATGGGGGAAGTCATATTTCAAGCACCATTTCTAATAGAGGCCTTGGGGACAGTCCACACTCAAGCCACTGACCTAAAAAAAATCACCTTTTATTACTTAGTGCAGAGACAGCTTCATATGTGTGTGTATGTATACATGTATACATATGTTAGTCTATAAATGATGAAAGATAATTGGCAATTAATTTAAATCATATCTACCTATAAGGGAATGTAATAATGACTTCCTATGACTATTTTGATGTTATATTTCAGCAGAAGCTCCCCCATTTATATAGCAATTAAATTGTTTACTAAGGGTTTAACCTTGGCTCTAGACCTTCATCTCTCTAGCCATTAATAGAGAAAAGCCATCCACATGTTTGCATTTCCCAGGTTGCTAGACTTCACTGTGTCTATACGTACCTCTGACTCATTCCCATTCCCAGCAATGGGAATAAAACATGATTCACATCTGGATTTTGTAATCAAAATATGGATAAACCATGATTTACAAAACTGCAAAATATTCATCCTGATATAGCTTTTGGTACACGTTCCAGCCAAGGTCTATGATTGATCAGAGAACAACTAAGTTGACAAGAGTTCTCCAACCAATTATCACTGGAGTTATGACAGAAGTCTATTAATTACAACTGTATCCTATGGGATGAGAATAAGCATGATGCTATATTCAATTTTAGGCTGCAAACAGGAAGAAGTTGGGAGAGTGTTAATTACAGGGAGAGCTAATAAAGAAGCCATATATGAGGACCGAGGAGCTCAGCCCAGGGCCCTGTGGGAACACTTGCTAATTAACACTGTATGATGTCATGGCAGGGGGACAAAACACAAACCTATCACATTTGATATTTTTACAAGACAAGTAGCGAAAAGTATTTCCCTGGAAACTCTCTGCTGGACATTTAAATTTGTGGGACATATTGTGCTAGAACTTTAGCCTACACCCTAAACCCAGATCCCAAAATGGCTCCTCACACTGACCTAACTGGCAGGGTATCCCTCCCTTGGCAGCAGGGAGGATTTGAGCTACTTTAGACACTATGCATGTCTTGCAGAGAGACATGGGCTTGTTCACCTCCTGGAAGCAGTGTCCTCCTATTTGGAATATGGGTGAGAAGCCACTTTCTCATGAACAGAAATCTATTTGAATATAATAATTTCACCCAGTGTCGACAGTTATATTCCGAATACCAGGCTTTGCCCTTTTCACCTACCTCTATACTAATCAGGCAAGAGACCATCTCTCCCTTTAATATAAATTCTAGTTAGAAAGATGGAATTAATGAAGATTTGGCTTTATAGGAATTTATGATCTGAATCTGCCTCCAGTCAAAATTATCTGTTAAAAAGGTCAATGTTCACCAAATAGTGATCAAGTTATAACTTCATAAAAGTAACTTCTAGGAATATGACCATTTCAAAGGCATCTTCAGATGATATATTCTGACTTCTCACCACAGCTACTTTCTGACCAATAGATATACTTTAAAACTTTAAGAAGTTACTGTTTTTATGTTTTTTGCCTGCATGTGTGTCTGTGTACCACACACCTCCTGTAGTACCTGCAGTGGTCAGAAGAGGGTGTCAGATTCCCTACGACTGGATAGTTGTGAACCACCATGTGGCTGCTGGGATTTGAACCCTGGTCCTCAGGAAGAGCAGTCAGTACTCTTAACAGCTGAGCCATCTCTCCAGCCCCTAATAGATTAATATACTTTTATTTTTCATTAAAAATGTTCAATTTGGGGCTAGTGAGATGGCTTGGTAAAGACACTTGCCACCAAACCTAGCAACCTGAGTTCAATCCCCAGGACTCACATCTCAGCAGAAAATTAACTTTTAAAAGTTGTCCTCTGGGGATGGAGAGATGGCTCAGAGGTTAAGAGCACTGACTGCTCTTCCAGAGGTCCTGAGTTCAATTCCCAACATCCACATGGTGGCTCACAACCATCCCTTATGAGATCCGGTGCCCTCATCTGGTGTGAAGATATACATGGAAGTAGAATGTTGTATATATAATAAATAAATAAAATCTTTAAAAAAAGTTGTCCTCTGACCTCCATGCACATTGTGACATGTGCAAGTTGTCTCTCTCCCTGTCCCTGTCCAACCCCCCCCCACCCCGGTCCCCCCCCAACACTGACCCAATCAGTAAGATGGAAAAAAAATTTAGATTTTTATTAACAGTTTTAGAAAAAGAACTTTTATTGATTTTTTTGGGGGGTTGTTTTGTTTTTTCATTTGTAGTCCTGGCTGTCCTGTATGTAATCCATGCTGTAGACCATGCTGGCCTCGAACTCATAGAGATTAGCCTGCCTCTGCCTAAGTACTGGGATTAAAGGCGTGTGCCACCATGCCCACCTTTGAAAAAGAACTTTAAAATCTACTCCTCTGCTATTTTTAGTCTCTATAAGTTTGTTGTTATCTGTGTCCCCTGTCTAATTTTCTTTTCTTTCTTTTTTTTTAAATGTATTTATTTATTATGTATACAGTATTCTGTCTGCATGTGTCCCTGCAGACCCAAAGAAGGCAGCAGATCTCATTACGGATGTTGTGAGCCATCACGTGGTTGCTGGGAATTGAACTCAGGACCTCTGAAAGAGCAGCCAGTGCTCTTAATCTCTGAGCCATCTCTCCAGCCCCTAATTTTCTCCTATATTTTAAACAGAACATAAGTAGAAACATAGCTGACTTTTAAAAATGAAATGTTTAAAAGCTGATTTGAGTTTCCAAGTCAGAAACTCAGAATGGCATCTCCTCATCGAAGTCCTGAGTCAGCACCTGGCCAATTTCTATTTGTTTCCTTTTGTTGGCTTTGCTGTGTATGTATCAATGATTCCTATTTACGCTGTGGTAAAGCAGGACAGCCAGCATGTTTTGTCTGAAAGAGGGAAGCAGTCACATTAAGTAACAGAAACTACGTAGATTATCTTTACCCTCACATTTTCCCCAGCCAGGGGAAAATGTTCCTTTTGACACCATTTGTCTTGGGTCCTTCCCCCTAGTGGAAAGTGTACATTTAGGACGAAGAATGTACCTAATTCTGTGAAGAAAATAAGCCAGCATTTAATCTTTGATTAGCCTGTCAAAAAGATAAAAGATCTTTGGTAACTAATTTTAATAAGCGCCACATGGACCCCCCCTTTTTAGACTATAAATTACACTCCATACCGCTGTCAAAAACAGTGACTTGTAAGCAGCAAAAGCTATTTTTAAAGGCAGTTGGAGAGCATAGAAGTGGTAGCCTGAGGTCTATCAGGGACCGGCCAGGGGAGAAGAAAGTGCCCACCATATATAGCAATAATCTTTAGTAAGAAATGGATTCTTTCCCACTCCCAGAGTTGATAAATAAATAATTGCTGCTTTGCTCTCACTGAACACTCATCTTAATCAGTTTTGTGTCTACCAGATGGCATCAAACATGATGAGAGATAATAAAGATTGAGCGCTGGCTGCTGTGATACCTTCCAGCAAAAGCTGGTACAAGCTTAATTGCTTCTTGGTGGAGCAGAGAGAGGGAGAGAATCAGATGGAGATGGATGTCACCTGGAAGAGGGGCTTCGCTCGCACTGCTCATGTCTGCAAACTTTTTTATAATTGGTTAATCACAGGCTTCGTGACGGCGTGACTTGTGAAGTGTGCAAACTGGCCATTTTTAGATCCTACACCCAAGACTACTGGGAAATATCAATTTGTCCACAGAATGCAAAGGAGACAACGTGTAGCTTGCAGCATGCTCACTGGTTTCTTTAAAGCCCAGTGGAAGACAGTCTATGACAGTGTTTGTATGTAGGCCGACTCCTGTGTGTTGTGATGAAATGAAGCAGTGTTTGGAGAGTACTCAGCCATGGCTCTGGGGTAGACATCACGGCTGTTAATGTCTGCATTGGCCCTAGGGGATGCTCAAGGCAGAGGTTGTCAGCCTGTAGGCCTGTGCGCCATGATCGCAGAGGGGTCTGTGGAAGGCCCCGGCCCTGCAATTCAGGTTCACTCTTGGGCTTTGTGCTCTGTTAACTGCAAGAATTTGTTAGTAGCCACTTAGGCCATGGTATGAGTGAACTTACTGGGTTATTTATTTATTACCTGCTTATTTGTAGGCAGAGGCCCAGCTTGGCCGGCAACTCACTATGTAGACCAGGCTGTCCCTGAATTCAGGTATCCATTTGCTTCTCCCTTCAGATTTCTGGGTTTAAAGGCACGGGCCACCATGCCTGGGCTTGGGTGTTTTTTAGAACATGTGTCAAGAGAGGAGAGGAGAAAAGGAGTGTAAAGCTGGCAGTTATTAGGCTAAAGGCTGGGAAGACCAATCCTGGTCACACATAGGTACTTTCTGCTGAGTGCCGTGTCCTTAAATATTGTGACCATCTGAGACACAGAAACCCTCGTGGTCAAGGGCTAGAAGGAAAGGCTGCTTTAAGGAGTCAGTGATCCAGCATCATGACCTGGGCAGGAAAAGGCATTAACAAAAATACATTTAGCTCCAGGGAAAACCTTTATGAACTTCAGAGTCCCTCTCTGAATGTGTTCTTCATGTTTCTCATGGTTTAAGCTTGTTGGACCAACTGAGATTCTGCCCGTGTTGCATATTGGACCAACAATCTTCCAGTGAGTTTGACAGGTCTTCCCTTTCCTAAACATTTTTTTAAAAGTATACATGGGGGCTGGAGAGATGGTGTAGCAGTTAAGAGCACTTGCTGTTCTTGCAGGGGACCTGGTTTGATTCCAGCACCCACCCTGTGGCTTCACAACTGTCAGAAGCTCCAGTTCCAGGGCATCTGACACCCCCTTCTAACTTCCGTGAGTTCCAGGCATGCAGGTGGTGCACATACATGTATGTAGACACAAGTTATATACATACATTAGAAATAAATAAATCTTTAAAAAGTATACATGGCTTTAATCCAATGCCTGGGAGATGGAGGCAGGAAAAGCAGGAGTTTAAAGTCATCTGCTACATAGTCAATTCAAGGCTAGCCTGTGCTAAATTAGATCCTGTTTCGAGGAGGAGGAGGAGGTGGGAGGAATAATGATGATGATGATGATGATGATATAATACACTCGAGGCTGGAGACATGGGTCAATTGGTAGAATGTTTGCCCACCATGCCCAAAGCTCTGGATTTTATCTCCGGAACCACAGAAACTGGGCATGGTGGTACATGCCTGCAATCCCAGAACTTGGAAGGTAGAAGTAGGAAGATCAGAAGTTCAAGGTCATCCTCATAGTTACATAGTGAGTTTAAGGCTAGCCTGGGCTACATAAAACCCTATCTCAAAGTATGTGTGTGTGTCGGGGTGGGGGGTGGGGGATGGAGGCAAACATTAGGTATGAGTAGCAAATTGTTTTGGAGTAGAGAGGGAAGGCTCTATAGGTAATGAGCTGTCTGGATATAGGGGATAAGGATGACAGAAGCTGGGGCTGACTTTGCAGTGCTATCTAGCTGTATCTTTTGCTAGCAATGGAAGTCTCACTGTCCAAAAAAAAAAAAAAAAAAAAAAAAAAAAAAAAAACCAACCAAAAATGTTCCTTCAAAAACTCAGGGGTGTTGTGCTGTTCCTGGTCCTCTCCCTACAGCATGCCAACAATGACAGATGGCTGACAAGATGCCCAGAAGGCCTGGCTTGGAGGAAAGGCTATACAAAGTAGATTCAGCAAGAGAAAAGAGCATGTCTGGTTCTCACCATCTCCAGAGGACTGGCAGGGTCCTGTAAGTACCTTCAGATCCTAGGGGACAGGATGTTAAAGGAGGGTCTTGGGCCTGGAAGAAATTGTACTTTTTCTTAAAACTACTTTTTCACATGGCAGCTTGACATGTATGTGGGCACACAGGAGAGGTCATTCTAGGGTCAGTGTTAATGGAGATATGCATCACAGAGTCTACCTACTTTCCCACTGTTATGGAATATTACCTTAACTATGTAAAGGTGTGTTGCATTTGTTTAATTATGTCAAGAAGCATTGCTGTTTCACCTTGCCTGCCTAAGTCACCTGATTGGTCTAATAAAAAACTGAATGGCCAATAGCTAGGCAGAGGAGGGATAGGCGGGGCTGGTGGGCAGAGAGAATAAGTACGAAGAGAGAGAAGAGAAGGAGAGAACAAATGAAAAAAAGAGGGACACACCGGGGCCAGCCAGCCAGCCAGACATGGAGCAAGCAGGAATAAAAGAAGGGTGAAAAGCCACAAGGCAAAATGTAGAGGGAGAGAAACAGGTTAAATTTGTTACAAGAGCTAGTGGGACAAGCATAAGGTAAGGCCCAGGATTCATAACTAATAATAAGTCTCCATGTCATGATTTGGGGGCTGACTGGTTGCCCGAAAGTAAGCCTGCTACACCCACCTTCGTCAGGGAAGGAAATAATAAATAAGGCATCCTCTTCAAAGGTACCACGTGGTATCCTATCACCGTCTCAGCAGGATTTTATGACATGTGAAATGTATTATCTCACACAGCCAAAGAAATGAAGTTCAGAGTGTGAAGAACCAGATGACAATGGTAAAGGGACGAGGGCCGGGAAAGAAGCCAATGCAGAAGGATTTATGAGGGGGAAATGGCCCTTACAATAAAAAGCTGCCTTCAGCACACGGATACGACACTATATTATCAGCCAGGTTCCCCATGGTTTTGATATGGACTCAGGAGGATTTAAAACAGAAATGTAGCAGGGCCCACAAAGCACTGCTCCTGCTCATCTTACCTAGGAAGGCGGCCATGTTCATGACTTGACTGAACACACAGCTCGCAGGAGGATCGTCGCCTGCAAAACTGGAAAAAGACGGAGCCTTAGAGGCTGGCCACTCAAATCTGTAACTTCGTGGATCTGACATGGACTTTCCTTAAGTTCAACAGGTCAGGCAGAATCAGAGTTACCTGATGTACGGGGCATGCTTCGCACCAGATTTCCTAGATAACAAAAAACACAGGAGGCACAGGTTAAGGCAAAGTCGCTGCTAACTCTATGAGGGGAAAAGTGAATTCTCTAGGTGTAATCTTTACCTTGCAGCTGAATTTAATGGCAAAATTTTGTCATCTTCCACAGCTATAAAGTACCTAGCAAGAAAGAATGACCAGTTTATAAAACAAACAAACAAAAAACAAAAACAAAACCCTAAGAATTGTTTCTCATTTTAATCCGGTTAAATATCTAATTTATCTATATTGTGGATATATGTCATATCCATTATTTTCCAAGAAAATGCTCTTGAGCAAGGCATGTTTGCACATGTACAACTGTATTTCCAATATTTGGAAGATGGAGGTAGTAGGATCAGGAATTCAAGATTATCCTTGTCTACATAGGGAGTGCAAGACCAGCCAGGGCTACATGAGACTCTCAAAAACTCCAACCAACTAACCAGAAAACAGAAAAAGATCTTTAACTACATTTATTTTTCTTTGGGAACAGGATCCCACTGTAGCACTAGCTGGCCTGGGATTTGTTATGTAGCTCAGGCTAGCCTAAAACCTATGATCCTCCTGCGTTCAGCCTTACGAGTGTGGGATTATAGGTGTGCATCACCACAACCAAGCCAATTGCAATTCTTTTCCCAAAGGTCACTAGTGATTTAAAGCTCAAAGGCTGTGATTATCAGGACTTGGGGATGTGGCTCAGGAGGTAAGTGCATGCGCTGTTCTTCTAGTGGACCTGAGTTCTGTTCTCAGGCCCCATGTCAGGTAGCTCACAACTCCTGTATCTGCAGCTCCAGGGGAATCTGATGCCTCCAGCCTCTACATGCATCTGCACTCACAGGCACATACCCACAGAGACATACGCATAATTAAAAATCTCCTGAAAAGAGAGACCCCAAACTAACAGATAATTATAATCTGAGAACTGGGGGTGGGGAATAAACATTATAAGCTTAATAAAATTACTCAGGAATGTTTGACTACCATTTTTCCTTTTCTGTTTTCCCCCCTCCTGGTAATCAAGCCTGTGGTGGTTTAAATTAGAATGAAGACTTGGCCCCCAGTTGGTGGAACTGTTTGGGAAGGATTAGAAGGTGTGGTCTTGTGGAGGGAGGTGTCTCTGAGATGTGTCCTGTGAGGCTCAAAGGACTCACACCAAACCATCTGATTCTCTCTACTTCCTACTTGCAGATGAAGATGTGGGTTCCCAACTTTTCCAGTCTCTATGCCCTTGCTCTGCAATCATGAACTCTAACTCTCTGAAACTGGAAGCCCTGAATCAAATGCTTTCTTGTGTAAGAAACGGAGTTTTCTCATAGCAATAGGACAGTAGCTATGACAGAGTCCATGGTCTATCCAAGCACTCACTGACCTACAGCCCCAGTCCAGTGAAACCATTCTTCATGAGTTTTCTTAAGACAACTGTTGATTGAAATCAGCAACTATGGGAACTTGTTTTTGGTGGTAAGCCAGGCCTTCCAGTGTAGTGATACCTGTTTTATAAACATCTCAGATCTTGTCACAACTGGATTGTAAATGGAGCCCACATCACATGAGTGTCAAATGAGAAAATCTTGCAACATGAACTCATATAACCAGTTTTAAAAACATGCATTACAGTGGTACAAGCCAGCCATCCCAGAACAAGCTTCACACCAGCCTATACAGTGAGAATCTGCCTAAAACCAAAGACAAGCTTCATGAGAACAAATGGCTGTGTGGTGGCACATGTCTGCAATTTTCACATGCAGGAAGCAGAGGCTGGTGGACTGTTGCAAGTTCAAGGCCAGCCTAGTCTACATAGTAAGACCTGTGTTAAAGGAGTATGGGTGGGGAGGCAGGGTGAAAAGGGGAGAGGAAGGAAAAGGAGAAGACAAACAAAACCAGTCTTCATCACTAGCTATCACAGGGATACCACATGTTTTTTAAAAAGACAGACTTAGCTATTTTAAATAATTTATTATTCAGGTTTGTTATTTTACTTTAAGTAATAAAGGTTGAGAAAAATGGAGACTTTAGTAAAGTTGACTTAGTACATCTATTTATTTTAAAAACTAACCATTTGATATATATATATACATATATATATATATATAATATGTTACTCATAAATATATTTATATAACTATGGCCTAGTACCAAAACTTGGATTTTCTCTATATTACACTAGAAGCCTTAAATTACTAACTAAGTATACTCACACTATCCACAAGCCAGCTGAAGTGAACAAAGTGAATACAAGAGGTAGAAACATCCACACGCTGCATTTCTTCCCGTCCATGCCTGTACCACTGAAATCAAATGAATGGGTATTTAATTAAGGCAAGAATCCACCCAACTCTTTCAAGATGGAAAGTCCAAGTGAGAACAAACAAACAAAACCCAGGTATTTTATAAAAACCATGATTCAAATCTATTACTGCTACCTTCTCAGTAGGAAATCCCAGGATTAAGATAGGTCATCATTGTCTGGTACTGGCTTAAAGATTTCTGATCTTAATGGGAGGGTTTTCATGAAAATGTTCAGCTTTATACACTCAGTGATATGTTTAAGAAGGGACAAAGTACTTTGAGATGTGGGGTGTAGAAGGGCTGGGTACTTTTAGAGTGACTATTAGTATAAATCTTATATGAACTTAAGTCTATGGGAGACAGTGTTAGAAACAAATGGCTACTAACTAAACTAGCAAATCAGGGGAAATGAGATGTTTTACAAATCTGACTTCCCTAGTGGCATGTTACGGAGCAGTTCCAGTAGATTCTCAAGGTGAACACCTGCAAACAATGCATTAGCTCCAACAAGCAACTAGCTCCAATAAGCACATGAGAGACATGACAGACACTGGGTATGTGGGATGGCTTAGCTTCACTTCCTGTGACTGTGACAAAATATCTGGATAAAAGCAATGGAGAGAGAGAAGGTTTGTTTTAGCTCACAGTTCCAGGTCACTGTTTATCATTATGGAGAAGTCGCAGCAGCAAAAGCCCAAGAGAAAGGATTACACACATTACAGTCAGGAGCAGAGAGCAATGGACTAATGCATGCGTGCTGGTGCTTAGCTTGCTCTATCCCTTTCATTCAGTCCAGGGCCCCATCTATGAAATGGGCTGGCTACATTCAGGGTAGGTGCTCCCACCTCAACTGCCCTAGCTAAAACTCTCACAGACTTGCTCTCAGGCCAGCATAGTGCCGACAATTCCCCACTGAAACTCCTACCCCAGGTGAGTCTACACTGTGCCAATTTGACAGCAATCCACTAGTCAATGATGGGGGATGTCCTTATGTATATGTTTCTCTTATTGGTTGATGAATAAAACACTGTCTGGCCAATAGAAGCAGGGATATAGGTGAGACTATGAGACAAGGAGTATTCTGGGAAAGGTAGGCAAAGAGAAACTGTGAAGAGATGCAATGTAGAGACTGGGAAGATAGGACATGCACGGCATTCTCTGGTAAGATAAGGCCACGTAGAAATACATAGATTAGTAGTTATAGGTTAATAATTAAGAGAGAGCTAGCCAAAAAGAAGCCCTAGCCATCGGCCAACATTTTTATAATTAATATAAGTCTCTGTGTGTTCATTTGGGGCTGAAGCAGTGGGACCTGGTGGGACAGAAACCTCCAGCAACAAGCCATCACAGGGATACCACATTCTTTTAAGACAGTGTAGGCCTTTATTGGGGGGAACCTGGAAGGGGAGGTGTCTGTAAAATCAGAGCCTCCAAATGCTTACAAACTGGGCTGGTTACAGGGTAGAAGCAGGGTGTGGGGACTGAGGGTGAAAGCTCCCCCCTTTTATTTATTTGACAACAGAATGGTGAATGGTAAGTAAAAGAATTCCATTGGGCAGTGGTGGCACACACCTTTAACACCAGCACTCTGAAGGCAGAGGTAGGTGGATTTCTGAGTTAGAGGCCAACCTGATCTACAGAGTGAGTTCCAGGATATCCAGGACTACACAGAGCTTTGAAAAAATTTCCAGGTGACCAAATAACATCTCTTATGGACAGCCAAGGGGTGGGGTGGGGCAGGAATCTAGGCTTTAGTTCTGGAATGCTTAATACTGTGGTTTGTGGAAATTGCTATTATTTAACCAAACTATAAGAACTTTTCAGGATGAAGTTGGCCATGGCTAACATTCCTGTCTTTGGCTTCTAGAGACGGGTGGGAAAGGTAAGCTGTGGTCCTTGTATCTCTTTCCTGCTGGACGAGGTTGCCATCCTCATCAGGAGTTCCTGGAGCAGTCTCTGGTACCAGAAAATCTGGAGGACAAGGATGCTGTGAAGAAACAGTTCTTCTTCAGTGGTTTCCAAGGCTAGCTACCTAATGCAAATTTTGGAGGGAGAAGATGCCGTGAAGGAGGGTTCCTTCCTCGATGGCTTCCAAGCCTGCAAATTATTATCTAGCTATCTAATATTCTCCTCTAAAGAGTTAAGACGTTAAAATCATCTAGGAGATGGGCATAGTGCCAATATGATTCATTCTAGCTGGTACTGGGGGTGTAGAAGGCTTCAGTGTCTCCACTCAGTTGATTTTCAGGCACTGGAGGGTGGTCAAGGGGACGAGATAGTTAGATGGTTCCAGGACCATCTGAGTGTGGACAAACTGTAAAGAGTAGATAAAATCATGACAGTAGCTGAGTGCACAGGGTTAGAGTTTAACAGCATCAGTACTAAGGTCATAATAGATTTAATCCAATTTCACCACAAAGACCTGGATCTCCAGTTTTAAGGCTTTTTACCATCACAATGGGGATGTTGATACAGTCCTAGTCTGATTTTGTAGAGCAAAGGAAACAAAAGCAAATTACCAGGAATGTAAAAACAGCAATGTGTTTACAGCTAAGAGAAGGATGAGAGTCCTGTATTTGATTGCAGCTGGGGTGGCTTGTCAGTAGCCCGTCCAGAGCCTGTGAGCCTGGCCTATTGTTTGTTTCACATTCTCAATAATCTTACTTTGGGTGATAATTTCTTGCTGTATGTTTAAGACCATGCAGGAGGCCCACATCAAACATTTTATTTATTTATTTGTTTATTTATTTATAAGGCTAGTTGAAGGTCTGGTTCTCAGGGGTTGCTTAGGAGGAGTCCGTCTCCTTTGGTCTTTCTGTTACCGTTGTTCCAATGCTGTGAAGTTTAGACCAAGCCATGCTTGGCAATGGCTTCAGCTGAAAGCATGGAGGGAAGCTTTCCTCCATGTTGACCTTCTCTGTGAGAGTCTACCCAGTGCAGTCTCCATGGCCTCCCCAAACAAAAGAACAGTTGACTCACCAGGGATATAGGATATTTTGAGAGATGTCTCCCAGGCCCTGAGACCTAACAGATTTTGGAGGACAAGGGGTAGAATGTCCCTTTTAATTCCTCTTTCCACAGTAGTATAGTCTCCAAGTATGTTTGTTAAATAGCCAGGAGGTCAGTCACATCAGTGTGGTACTTTCAGCTAACGTGTAATGTTTATAGCTGAGGCAGAGCCCAGGTACTTTTAAAGAAATAAATCTTGCTATCTGAGTCTTATTCTCCAATGTTTTATACAACTTAGAGCTTTTGTGACTTGCTGAGGTTTTCCAGTTTTCCTCCCCATTCTGGAAAACATCTGCCGTCTTAACCCCCAAATGTAAGACCATTGTCACAAAAATCATCTCAATTCTTACATTTTTCTAACATTTCTTTTTTTCCTACTTACTGGTTCCCTTTTATTTGTTTCTAAATACCATGAGACACAGTAACAAGTAGATTTATCATCACATTAAAAGAGAGTTGAATCCAAACCACACATATAGCATAATGTAATAAGTTAATATTGCCTGTATATATACCGTTAGATTATGAGACTTTGCAAGTTCCCAGGCAAGTTCTATTGAAAACACAGGACAATGAGAAAGTCTTTTTGTGTTTTTCATAGTCCAAAGAAAGTTCTGAAGGAGCCTGAGTAGCAGATAGAGATGCAAGAAGAAAGAAGAAGATACAAACATCTTCCAATGAATGTTGACAACATCCAGTAGCTAAGAAATCAGCTAAGGAAGCCCCGTTAAACTGTGATAGCAGAATCATCGACTGGGGAAATTTAGGCAGAAAAGATTCTCCTTAGCAATTTCCCTTACAGGCATTTTATGTTATGGAGATACAACAACCTTTTTAGCTGCTCTCAAAGGCACGGTTATTTCACTTTGCACTTTGAGCTGTTTTTTTCCTATTTTCAATCTGTTCCAGTGTCAAGGAGCAGCCTGACCCAGGCAAGGGAGTCTGAAAGGGGGCTCTGAGATAAATCATCTTGTGTCTGAAGTGAGAAGGTCAAATCCTAGCTCTTGAGCCAGTTCCTTGGTGAGCTGAAACCAACACAGACAATTTACCTAGCTAGTATAAGAGGCATTCGCCATGCCTGAATTAGACAGGCGAGAAAATCAGAATACCAACCTACAAATGGACAGTGAGAAACAGAACAGTCAAATGCACCAGCACATTGGCCCCTCTACCAGGACTATGGGAAATCAGAGCTTGGAAGTGGGGAGGTACATAAAAAGAGTTAACGAGTCAACTCTAGGACTGTGGCAACAAGCTAGCTGTTTGTGAACCATTTCCTTGAAAGAAGTGGTGGGACAGACTCGGGGTGTGAATCCACTTGGCCAGTCACTATCTTGTGATCTCTGATGGGCTATCCCACCTCTGACACCTTAGTTTAACGGTGGAGCAATTTCTGCTTTGTAGGGGTGTGCTGAGGCTTGACGGTGGTGCAGGTAAAGAGCCTCACAAACAATCTCGTTCTGGAAGTGCTGTAACTATAGTGGCTAAGCAGATGGATCCATGTGTTAGGGCTGGGCTCCTATCTGCAGAGCAAGACTCAGGACAACAATACTTTCTTCTCCAGGTACCATTTTTTTTTTTCTAGAAAGGCATAGATAGCTTTTCTGGTAATAATGTTTTCCTTCAAATGGCTGTCCAAAAAAAAATTATTAACATCTCAATAGTTGAGGTCTGCCCTCCTGAATTCCATCTATTTTTTAGTGATGGGATATGCTCTTCCACTGATCCATGTATGTTCTCTAGGTTAATGCATGTGGGCAAGGGGAGTGTCAACAGGTGATACACATGTGAAGGCCACAGGTTGACATTGATGTCTCCCTCTATTGCTCTCCACCTTACTTTTTGAGACAAGGTTTCTCCCTGAGCCTGAAGATCACTATTTCAGCTAGACCAGCTGGCCAGTTCTAGGTTCTACCTGTCTCTCTGCCCTCATCCCATTCCTGTGCTAGGGTCAGAGGTGAGTGTTGCCAGGTCTGGATTGTC